GTGTAGCATTCTATGGCAAAAAGAACAACGGACACATCATATATTGGCTTTCATGAGTTACCTTCTGGGACTAGGATGCACATAACCATGCTGTTACAACAGCCCCGATAGCTATCATTATGTTTCTGGATCTAATTCAAAGTACTGGCTGAGATTTATAACAACTTATCACATGGGTTCAGGTATGAGCCTGCCCATATTTTCAGTCACAGAATGCTCCTCTCATTCCCACCATTATCACAAGTAGATCTTGTAGTTGTTTTGAGGCCTTGCAACTTGCGTTATAAAAACACTTTATAAAGACCCCATCCTTGATGCCCTTCCAATACCAGATGAACATGTCTTTGTTGTGACACAACTTTGAGAACTGACTCCTTCAGGAGAGAGGATTTTAATGTAATGTATTGCCTACATTTGTGTGGGGGGGGGGAGGGGGGTGTTAATAGATGTGAATTTGGATTTGTTTCTTTTTAACTGGATGTTTTAATTCTGATGTTTTGATAAATGCTTAAATGTGATTTTATTACTATTGTTGTTGGCATCTAATGGTTGCCAGTTGTGACCTGCCCTGATCCCCCCCTCCGGGGGTGAGAAGGATAGGATATAAGTGTCTTCTTTTTAATTCTAATGACAATTCAATTTTTTTTAAAAAATTCTTTATGGTTTATAAATGTAGACTTTCTTTGAGAGCCAGTATGGTATAGAAGTTTGAGTGTAGGGACCACGACTCTGGAGATTAGGCTTCAAAGGTATGCCTAGCCGTGGAAACCCAGTGGTAACTGACACTTTCAGCCTCAGAAGGAAAGCAAAGGCAAACTCCCTCTGAATAAACCCTGCTAAGAAAACTGCATGACAGATTTGCCTTAGGGCAAATAAAGCAGAAACAATTTGAAGACACACGATAACAAGACTTCTATATATCTGCTTTAATTTTTTAAGTCACATTGTATCCCAGGGCTGGGAAACAGTACAACAAAAGCAAGCAAATAAACATTGTAACAGACTACATCTTCAGATGTATGTTCTGATAATACAGCTCCTTCTCTGTCACATGTCTGCCTTGATATTAAAATCCAGGGAAGACACTCTCTTGATTCTACTATGCTTCCCAGGGAATAAATATGCAACATTGAGAAGGCATCTTGAGATATAATTTATTCCAAGTTTTTTTCAACACCAACAGGAGACTTACTGATGGTGCTGATGTTTTGTACAGTTTTAATATCCTATCTCTGTTAATGTTTTATTGATTATCAAAGATGAGATGGCTGCATGTGTTTTACTGCTACTGTACCATTTATTGTATTAATAATATTGTTTGGAATTATTTTACTATGGAAAAAGAATTATTAATCCTAAAATAATGCTATCTTTAGTATTGGCTGCTTCTGCGAGGTTTCACTGTATTGTTTAACATATATTGTCACAGCTTACTTCTTGCATTCCATTTCCATTTAAGTCTAATTTAGATGTGTCTCTCCACTCCATTCACTTGTATATATCCCTGCCAAGGCAGGATTAAATTCCATCATTCTTTTGAAGTAGATGCCATAACAAATGTGTTACAGTCTTCAAAGTACAAAAAAAGACTGCTTCTTCTAGTGCATTTCACACATTTTTAAATGCGATCAGATATCTTCTACTTCCTGTTTTGCACTAAGAACACTTGTAGTAAGAAACTAAAGTTGCCAGCTTTTGCCTAGATTCTGTTCCTTACAACAAAATCCCAATGCCATGTCTTTTCTTGTGCCTACTTTCAGCTCCCATCTTCAACCCTCTTCTCTCTTCCAGTCTTTTTCCACATGGGAAAGGTCCAGTCAAAACTGTTTTTTTTTCTTTACATGCCTGCAAAAGTCTTTTATCTATTATCTTTCGATATCTTTTGCAAGTGGACACATATTACAGGTTAACTGCTTCATATAGCACAGATGAACCAAATAATGTTTTGAAGAAACCCTTGATCTAAACTTGTTGTGTTATTTTTTGAAGTGCTTCCAGTATTTCTGGAAAAGAGCACCCTTGGGGAAATTAACAAGATGCCATTCTAACATTGACATAAACTAACTGAAGAGCTAGACTCCACTAGATGTTATTAGTCTGGCTGCATATTCATTACAAGAAAGGAGAAACTGCAAATGGCCCTGGTCAAGGCGGGGGGGGGGGGGGGGTCACGGTGTTGCTTGCCTATCTGATAACAATCAGAAGTAACACTTCTACACAGACAGGTCAAAGTCCAAATGAGATCATGCCAGAGATCTTACTATCACCCTATTGTGTCTTTTGAGGAGTAATACATCTTCCTATGTTTCACTGTTGGGCCTAGCATGCAAACATTGCTAAACTAGGCCTTGAATCAAAGTAAGATGCCTCTTTTTAATCACAAAGAATCTCCAAGAATTTTTCTCTTTCCTGACAATTGATATTTTCCAGAACTTGTGTGGTTCTTTGTATATACTTTTATTAGGTGCCTTGTCATTTCTATTCAGAGTTCCTTTGAGGTTGCTTCAATATGCACTATCTGTACTGAAAGGATGGAAGCCTCTTTTTAAGGAATTGTACGACATAGATATAGACTATAATGTGGTGGTTCTACATTGCGGTGGTCCTACATTGGTGATACATGTGGTATGTTTTGTTCTCTTACCCACAAAGCAACTTGATTACATCTGCATTGAGCTCAGAAGTTAATGAAAACTTGTGTCATTTTATAAAAGAGATACAAATATCCACCACTCAGTAACATAGATTATAATTGTTCACTGTCTGCTTTGCCTGCACATCTCTGAGACTATAACATTTGCAGAACAGTCTGTCCAATGGAGTACAGTGGCAAAGCCATCTTCCCAAAGATTCACAAATTGTATAAAATAATCACTATACTTTTGTTTAGTTTGAAAATTGTATTTTTACATAGATAGAAATCAAGGCCAGTCTATTACCCTAAGAAGTGACAGTCAGACCAAAGTTTTCCAGCATGCAGCAATGCCTAACAGCAGCCGGCAGAAATACATATCAATCCCCTGTTTTTCCAGATGCAACAGTGCAGAGGCTCCTAGCTTCCACAAAGTCATATAACCCAGAATATCAAGGCAGAAAATCCCACAATATCTGCTTTGAACTGGGTTATCTGAGTCCACACTGCCATATATTCCAGTTCAAAGCAGGTATTGTGGGATTTTATTCATCTGTGTGGAAGGGGCCCTAGAAAAGTTCAATATTCTCTTTCTAAGAAAAGGGTGGGTGGCTCTACCCAGGAAGGAAACAGCTGAGATCTTAAGGGAAGCATGTTATTTTCTATGGCCCTCCTCCAGGTGTTTTGGACTTCAACTCCCACCATTCCTGACAGCCTCAGGTTCTTTCCTTTCCCCCCTCAGCCGCTTAAGTGAAGGAAGGGGGGAAAGGAAGGAGCCCGAGGCTGTTAGGAATAGTGTGAGGAAGTTCAAACACCTGGAGGGCCAAAGTTTGCCCAGGCCTGTTTTAGCATCAGTTACGCAGGAAACAATTGCATTTACACCTATGAAAATATCAAGCTGCACCATACAGATGCAATGGGCCATGTTTAATCTGGTCATTGTGGAAAGGACAGCATGGGCCAGTTTCAAAAATCTTGCCCCCCTTGGACAACTTGGATGCCTCTACTCACTGTAGAACAGTGGTTCGCAACCTGTGGTTTGTGGACCACCAGTAATCTTCAAGAACTAAAATATGGTCTGCAGCCTCACCATTAATAATCAAGGGTCTGGAGAACAAGCCCTATGAGGAGCGCCTTAAAGAGCTGGGCATGTTGAGCCTAAAGAAGAGAAGGCTGAGAGGAGACACGATAGCCATGTATAAATATGTGTGAGGCAGTCATAGGGAGGAGGAAGCAAGCTTGTTTTCTGCTGCCTTGGAGACTAGGACGCGGAACAATGGCTTCAAACTACAAGAAAGGAGATTCCACCTGAACATGAGGAAGAACTTCCTGACTGTGAGAGCTGTTCAGCAGTGGAACTCTCTGTCCCGGAGTGTGGTGGCGGCTCCTTCTTTAGGGGCTTTCAAACAGAAGCTGGATGGCCATCTGTCAGGGGTGCTTTGAATGCAATATTCCTGCTTCTTGGCAGGGGGTTGGACTGGATGGCCCATGAGGTCTCTTCCAACTCTGTGATTCTATAATACAGCAATGCAACGAGAGTGGCTGATCTTGCGAAACCCTCTTATAGTGCTGAGGGTTGTTCAATGTGGTTTTCTCTGGGTGAGCAGATGGCGACTACTGGATGGCCTACGTTCTGTATCAGAAACTAAAGCTGATGTGGTCCATCCAAGGCAATTTTCTGAGTCAGCGCTCCAAATAACCAAACCGAATCTAAAGTTGACCAAACAATGATTCGTAATCCTTTCGGTACTAATGTTGGAGAGTGGGCCCTGGTCAAAGTGGGCCCTGGTCAAGAAAAGGTGCTGTAGAGTGAAAAGTTTGACGTCTTTTGAACTGCCCTTGCTCAATGCTACAGAACGCTAGTTGATAAGGTCCAGGCCCAAGAGGGTGGGTGCCTCATCGATGGACTCCTCCCAGGATTCCACAGCCCGCAGACAGGGCAGTGCCAGGGGTGAGCTATACTGGAGAAAGGGATTTGGCGTGGCCTCGCCCCAGCACAAAGGGGAAGGCCCCGGGTCCCCGGAGGGAGCCGCCCTCCTTTCGCGGCCGCCAGGGAATTCCTCCCTCCCGCTGGAGCCCAGACGACTGACTGACCGGCCCACCCTTCCTTCCTTCCTTCCCTCACCGTCTGAAAAGAAGTGACCCCCGAGGAGGCACTTCCCCGAGTCCAGGGTCGCCGAGGCAGGCCGGGCCAATGCGCCACTTCCCAGCCCCACTCGGCGGAAGAGCCGTCGGCCTCGTTAAGAGAGCCAGCCAAGGCACCGGGGGGGGGGGGGGCGAGGGGAAATCCCCGGGAATCCCCTCCGGCGGGCCCTGCCTCCCTCTCTCGGCTCCCCTCGGGGCCCCACCCGGCTTCCTTTTCGCTTACCGTCATTGGACAGACCCATCTCGATGAGGGTCTCGTCGTTCTCCCGCTTCCCCACTCGGTTCATGACTGCTCCGGGGAGGAAGGCAGGGAGCCTCCCGAAGCAGCCCGCGGAGGAGGAGGAGGAGGAGGACGCGGCCAGGCTGAGAGAGAACAAGAAGGGGCAAGGCACCGCCCCCTCCGCCTTTTCCCCGCCTCCCGCAGCTTATCTCTGGAATCCCGGGAAGAAGAAGGACTAAATTAGCCAGACCGGGCCAAGTGGGAGGAAAGGGGGAGGAAGGCGTGGCTTTAGCCCTCGGGGGCGGGGCTCGTCGCTTCAGAGCTGGGCACACAGGAGGAGGAGGAGGAGGAGGAGGGAGGAGGAGGAGGGGGGCACTTTGGGTGAGCCAGGGTCTGCGCGCGCCGCCAAGGCTTGCTCTCGGGTTGCTCGCGCGGATTGCGTCACGCAAGGCGAGCAAAGGGGCGAGAGAGGAAAGAGGCGCTCCGAGCCCTCCCTCTCTCCCCGCCCGGCCGCCCCTTTCCTGCTGAGGCTTCGGGTGCTGATGCTGCTCCTTGGGTGGGGCCTTCCTGGCTGCTTGCTCACGCCCACGGGCTGGAGCCCATGAGTCGGCGTTTCCCCTCGCTTTCTCCCGCCTCCTCTGCCTTTCCAAAGAGAAATCATCACATTTACACTCTTCTTAGTCCATTCTCCATCATCGTAATTATCATTGGCGACTAGTATCAGTATGCAAAGTATGATAATCGTAATTATCATTGGCGACTAGTATCAGGACTAACTGGGAGACAGAAGTTGGCAAAAGCTTGAGCATAAGCTTTCTTGGACTTTACTCAATGCTGCGGAATTGTGGAGCTGCAGTTTCATAAGAAACTAGAAACAATATCATAGGAAAACTGACAGGCACAACCTGGGGATCACAACTACATACGGTGAAGACATCTGCCCATGTGCTTTGCTACTCTGCTGCTGAGTACGCATGCCCAGTGTGGAACACATCTCACCACACTAAAACAGTGGATGTGGCTCTTAATGAGACATGCTACATCATCACAGGCTGTCTGCACCCAACACCACTGGAGAAATTACACTGTCTAGCCGGTATTGCCCCACCTGACATCTACCGGGAAGTAGCAGCCAATAATGAAAGAACCAAGGCATTGGCAACTCCATGCCCTGTTTGGGTATCAGCCAGCACACCAAAACCAAAATACTTTTCTAAGATCTACAGAGATACTCGCAGAAACACCTCAGCAAGCAAGAGTCCAAAAGTGGCAGGCTAAAACCCAGCACCTCTATCCAATGGCTGATACCAAATGAGAAGCTCCCTCCAGGGCACACATCCAAGATGGGGTGACTTGGAAGGTGAACAGACTGCACTCTGGCACCACAAGATGCAGAGCTAACCTCAAGAAATGGGGCTACAAAGTGGAGTCCATGACATGCGAGTGCGGAGAAGAGCAAACCACAGACCACCTAATACAATGCAACTTGAACCCTGCCACATGCACAATGAAGGACCTTATAGCAACACCAGAGACCTTCTCAGTGGCAAGCTACTGGTCAAAGGACCTTTAATAGAATGCCAAGTTTTTAAACTTTGTGTTTTCTCAAATACATTGGTTTGCTCCTGATACAATAAATAAATAAGTTTCATAAAGTCCTCTCCCTTCTCTGCCAAAAAGCGATGGTGCTTCATCAAACGGCAACTCCCAGGATTCCAGAGCATTGAGCCATGGCAGTGGAAGAGGTTCAAACTTCTACAGCAGGCCTGGGGAAACTTGGGTCCAGCAGGTGTTTTGGACTTAAACTCCTACAATTTCCAACAGCCTCATGGCCTTTCCTTTTTCCCCTCAGCCACTTAAGGGGTTGAGTGGGGAAAAGATGGGGGCTGAGACTCTTAGGAATTATGGGAGTTGAAGTCCAAACACCTGGCGGGCCCAAGATTGCCCAGGCCTGTTCTATAGTGTGGGTGCACCCCTAAAGTCTGTTTCATCATGTCTAGGAAAGCTTATGCTACCATTTTCCCCCTTCTGTCTCAAAGGTGCTACAAAATCTCTGATCCAGGATACCATCTATGTCTTTGAATATTATTATTGGCATTGTGCTACTGGGGAGGTGTTCTACAGATAGCATGGACTTAAAACGACAAAAAAAAGGGGGCCCTAGAGCAAATCAAGCCTGAATTCTCTCTAGAAGCTGCCATACTTTGGCCATGTCATGAAAAGACACGACTTACTGAAAAATACTATAATGCTTGGTAAAGTGTAGGGAAAGTGAAAAAAAATGGAACCTGACATTCCAGATGGTAGGATTCAGTCTTGGAAGCTATAGCCCTGAGTCTGCAAGACCTGAGCAGGGCTGCTGAAGACAGGGTGACTTGGAGGTTTCTCATTCATGGGATGCCATAAGTTGTTGACATGACGGCAATTAACAACAATCTGTGTTGAAACTTTTGAGGAGGTGTGAGGGGGAATGTCAACCTGAGGTCCCTTTTCAGCCCAGTCTACCTCATGTCATAAGGATAGAATTAGGGGAAGGGAACCATGTATGCTGCTGTGTATTTGAAGGGAAGATATAGTCATAATACAAGGAAGCCCCCTCTCCCCCGAAAGTTTTCTATTCTCAAAAGTGCCCCATCTTCAAATTGGGTTTCTGCCCACACCCAGGAGCACTGACTGTATGCTTTCACAAATGTGGAGTGGGTGGGGATGTTGTTTTGCAAAACAAATGGCAAGCTATTGTAAATCAGTCTTCGCATGTTTCACAAGAGTAGAAAGGCCTGTACCACCTTAGGGCGGGGTCATGATTGGCACACTTCTGGAATATCTTACATTCTAACCCAAACAGTGGAAATATGTATTGTTGAAGGCTTTCATGGCTGGAATTCCTGGATGGTTGTAGGTTTTTCAGCCTATATGGCCATGTTCTAGAAGTGTTGAAGGCCTCTAGAACATGGCCATATAGCCTGAAAAACCTACAACAACCCAGTGGAAATATGCTTTATATCTGAGCATCTATTATCACTCTGCACTAGATTGGAAAAAGTGGGGTTATGTCTATGAAAGCTTAGGCAAAAATAGAAATCAATTAGTCTTAAAGGTGCTGCTACATTCCTTTCCCCTCCAGCTCCCTTCCTCCTCTTTAAGAGGAGAATGATGTGTGCATAATCGTCATAGATTTTATCTAATGAATAAGAAGGGAGAAGAAGGAAAATCTCGGCACATTCTTCAACAGATGGGACTCCAGTTACGTCCACTTCATAAGTCAGCCAATACAAGTCAACATGTACATACAGCAGGGTTTCATGACTCTTTAGAGGGGGCATCATAATGAATGTGTAACAGTTTCAAGGTACAAGAAGACTCTTTGCTACTTTTAGTACTCTGTGTGAAACAAGCCCCGATGGCTTTCCCTCAGTATGGACTTTTTTTGCATTTTCCACATCTTTAATGCAAAGATTGGCTGTTGCACTTAGAAGCAATCAAGAAGCTTAAATTTTGTACTTTGAAGATTAATTTCAGGTGAACATATAGTGAATCAAATCATGGTTTGATGAGCCCTTTGGTCTACAGACTCTACATTCTTTCTGATAATCAATGTAGATGCATTTCCTTTGAAGTTCTCCAGGCATTTCTAGAAAAGAGCACCCTTGGGGAAATTAACAAGATGCCATTCTAATGTTGACATAAACTAACTGAAAGGCTAGAGGCTATTTGTCTGAATTGAGTAGGGCATAGCAATCTACATGCACACAAAATCATCACTCAAGTAGTCTGAAAACAATCACTATGTTAGTCTGTATAGCATAAAAAGGAATCCAGTAATATCTTTGAGTATTTTTTTTTCTTAAGCATCAGAATCAGTGTGTTATAGTGGTTGGAGTATTGGACTAGGGTTCTTGATATCAGAATTCAAATCCTTTCCCACCTACTCAATGGGAAAGCCACATTCTCTCAGCCTCAAAGGAAGACAATGGCAAACCCTCTCTAAAAAATTTTTTGCCACTAATCCCTGGTAATTGGTTTGCTTAAAGTTGATATAGGCCAAAACAACTTGAAGACATACAGCAACAGGCATAAGTTTCATCAGTTGTTTGTGTTATGTCCCATTAACTTTGATTTCTGAGAGCTAGTGGATCAAAAGTGTTAGACTAGAGCAGGCATGATCAAACCTCATGCCTCCGGATGTTTTGGACTTTAACTCCCACAATTCCTAACAGCTGGAGTTTCCTCATGCCCAGAGGCAGCCCTAGCTAATCTTCAACAGTAAGCAAACAGTATTTTGGTGCCCCCCCCCCCCCCACCAATCACTGCTATATATTTTCTCTTCGTCGTGGGAGTTCTGTGTGCCATATTTGGGGCAATTCCATCATTGGTGGAGTTCAGAATGCTCTTTGATGGTAGGTGAACTATACATCCCAGTAACTACAACTCACATATGTCAAGGTCTATTTTCTCCCAAGAGCGCCTCAAGGGTGCCCCTGGGCAAAATCAACTATACTGCAAATGCTTACTTTGCGTAATGGGTTGAGCCACCCCTGCTCATGCCCGGACTAGAACTTTCAAAGAAATCAGGTCAAATCCTTGCTCGGCTATGGAAACCTATTGGCTGACCTTCAGCAAGTTTCATTCTCTCTTCCTAAGGGGAAAACAATGACTAGCCACCCCGAATAAGTCCTGCTTAAAAATCCTATGAGAGGGATACCAAAACTCAAAGTCTACTTGAAGGCATAGATCAACAACAAACTTTGCTTGCATCAGATGAAGCTAATGGCAGAAAATTCATGTTAATCTTATATGTGCTTTTGGATTCTTTTTATGTCTTTTATGTCATCACCTCTGGTGTATATTCATTTCACATTTAATACTTTCAGTCACCTTGAAACTAGTTATAGAAAAAAAAGCTGGATACAGATCTAATAAAGAAAAAAAGTTCTCTGTCATAAAGATACTTACATGCTTTTTTTGTCATGTCAGGAGCGACTTGAGAAACTGCAAGTCACTTCTGGTGTGAGAGAATTGGCCATCTGCAAGGACATTGCCCAGGGGACGCCCGGATGTTTTGATGTGTTACCATCCTTGTGGGAGACTTTTCTCATATCCCCGCATGGGGAGCCGGAGCTGATAGAGGGAGCTCATCCGTGCTCTCCTTGGATTCAAACCTGTGACCTGTCAGTCTTCAGTCTTGCTGGCACAGGATTTAACCCACTGTGCCACTGGGGGCTCCTATTTACATTCTAATACAGTTACTTTGTTTTTAAAATATTGTGGAATAAATACACATTTTGTAGGAGCCAGCATGT